GAGTAAATATTTGGGCGTAAGCAATTATATCGATTATAAAAAACCGGAAAAAATCGCCTAAGCAAAGAAAGTTTCCACAGTCCGTTTTATAGATTGAACTCAAAATCTCAGACAGGAGATTTTTTTTGGTTAACAAGTCAAATTTTAGAAAAAAACGCTGAAAGATTACAAAAAATTGATTTTTCTGAGGTTTAGAAAATTTGTGTAAGCCCTACTAATGCAAGGGAGTTCCCCTACCCGTTTTTTCAACTGAACCCAGAATCTCGAGTTTGGGAGGTTGCTTTTTGAGAAAATTTAGAAAAGATTCGAAAAACGGTCGAAAAAACCAAAAACTTGACTCTTCCGAGGGCCATAAGTTAATTGGAAAAAATTTGGGAGTAAACATCTATGTCGAAGAGCTTTTCCAATCCGTTCTAGTCACTGCAACCAAATAATCAAGTTTGGTAGGTTAGTTTTTGAGAAAACGAAAAAATAATCAAACATTTCAGTCAAATCAAGGCTGAAGACAAACGGGGAAAACCTAAAGAGACCAGGTGAGTATTCAGGCACACAAGAAAGTAGACGGTCTTTCTATGGATACGCTATGGTAGAAGAATTTTTTTTGAAAAACAAGAAAAAAAATTTTTTTGCAAGTATTTAAATTTTCCAAAGTGCCTCAAAAGAAAAAATCCATACTTTCATAATATGTGTTTCTATCACACAGGATTTGTGAAAACATACCAGGCAAAACATTCAAAACTGAAATCAGCAACTGAAAGAAATATACGAAGCGGAAACAATTCCGACCATCTAACAGCAGACACCAGTTGAGCCGAAAAAAAAAACTTGACGTAGCAAATTATAAGTGTAAGCTTTAAACAAACTGTTGGTCCAATTGAGTACTCAGGCAGACAAGAAAATAAGCCTCCAAACATTTTAGACCGATCAAAACTATGATATGAGATTTGACAGAACAGTTATCCGGAAAAACCAAAAAAAAACTGTCATGAGATTTTAAAAACGTTTTTTCCGTGATCATTTTTAGGTATAATAAAGTGTAGGATCGGCCGCTTATGCAGAGGAAATCCACAAAACTGATACTTCGACTGCAGCCACGAAACTAATGTTTGGGGAGTTAGTTCCAGAAGGTAAAAAAGTTGCAAAAACGGTCAAAAAATCAAAACTTTGACTTTTCCGAGGGCCATAATTTTTTGTGGCTAAAAACTTTCGGATGTAATCGCGTAAGCAAAGAAACTTCACCTTATCTGTTCTTTGAATTAAATCCAAAATCTTAGATATGGGAGGGAATTTTCTGGTTGAGTTTGAAAAACGTCAAAAAAAAGTCAAAATGCCAAAAAAACTCAAAAATTGGCTTTTCCGAGGGTGATAAGATTTTGACTAAAAAAATTTCAAGTGGGCCGGTAATTTCAAGGGAGTTTGCTACTACTCTTTATCTCCACTGAACCCAGAACCTCAGGTTCAGGAGATTAGCTTACGAGAATATATTTTAAAAAAGATTCAAACAACGGTTAAAAAATCAAAAACTTGACAATTCTGGGGAACATAAACTGATGTTTATAAAAAACTGGGGAAAATTGGCCTAAGCAAAGAAATTTCCCACAGCCCGTTTTATAGATTGAACTCAAAATCTCAGACAGGAGATTTTTTTTGGTTAACATGTCAAATTTTAGAAAAAAACGCTGAAAGATTACAAAAAATTGTTTTTTCTGAGGTTTAGAAAATTTGTGTAAGCCCTACTAATGCAAGGGAGTTCCCCATACCCGTTTTTTCCACTGAACCCAGAATCTCGAGTTTGGGAGGTTGCTTTTTGAGAAAATTTAGAAAAGATTCGAAAAACGGTCGAAAAAACCAAAAACTTGACTCTTCCGAGGGCCATAAGTTAATTGGAAAAAATTTGGGAGTAAACATCTATGTCGAAGAGCTTTTCAAACCCGTTCTAATCACTGCAACCAAATAATCAAGTTTGGTAGATTAGTTTTTGAGAAAACGAAAAAAATCAAACATTTAATTCAAGTCAAGGCTGAAGACAAAAGGGGAAAGAATAAAGAGACCAGGTGAGTATTCAGGCACACAAGAATGTAAACGGTCTTTCTTTGGATCCCTTTTTTCGAAAGTCGGTAGAAAAATTTTTGAAAAAAAAAAGAGAAAAAATAATTTTTGGGAGAAGTATTAAAATTTTCCAAAGTGCCTCGAAAGTAAAAATCCATACACTTTCATAAAAAGTGTTTCTATCACACAGGATTTCTAGAAAACATACCAAGCAAGAATTTCAAAACTGAACTCAGCAATTGAAAGAAACATACGAAGCGGAAACAAGGCGACAATCTTAGAGCAGACACCAGTTCAGCCGAAAAAACTGGACGTAGAAAATTATAAGGG